AGGGCCCCGCTCTCGCCGCAGGCGCGCCCGCTGCGGGGCGGCCCCGGGCCTGGGTGTTTCCCCCCCGGGGGCCCTCCCAGGGCCGTGTCCCCCCGGGGGGCACCAGGCCCAGGTCCCACCACCTTTGGGGACCCCACCCCATGTTCCCCACCTTTGGGGACCCCCCAGGTTCCCACACCTCAGACCTGCAAACACCTCCAGGGAGCAGCCGGGATCCAGGGGAGCTGAAACGACCTGAATCTGCCTAAAAATGCCCCCCCCCCCTCCCCAAAGGTAACGATTTTCACCTGGTTGAGGGGCTGAGGGAGGAACCTGCCTGGGGGGGCAGCTGGTTGGGCTTGGTGGTCCTGGGGAAGAAGGCAAGGAAAAGGAGGGAGAAAGGCAATTAAAAAGGAAAAAGGAAAAGACAAGGGAAAAAAAGGGAGGGGGGAAGGCAAGAAAAAAGGGAATAAATACATATCTTTATTTAGGTTTTAGAAATACAATAAATAAACAGAAAAAAAGACAATAAGGAAGAAAAATTATACAAGGAAAAAGGAAAAAAAGGCAAGAAAAAAGAGAATAAATACATGTTTATTTATGTTTTACAAATATATTTATGATTTACAATAAGTAAAAGGAAAAAACATGATCAGAAAGAAAAATGATACAAGAAAAAAGGGGAAAAAGGCAAGAGAAAAGGGAAAAAAGGCAGAAAAAAAGGAGGGGGAGACAGGAAAAAAGGGGAGAAAAAAGAAACAAACAAACTGAACAGGAAAAAAGACAAGGAAAAAAGAAAAAAAGAACAAAAACCTTATTTATGCATCAGGGGAGGAAGGCCTATGGGGGTGTTTTGGGGGCAAGAAACAGGGCCCACCTCAATTTTTCCTCTGCCATTAAATCTAAATTGAATTTATATTAAAAAAAAAAAAAAAGCAAAAAAAGCTTCCTTGGCTCTTCCTAGCTCCTCATTTTTAAATATTTGAAGAGAAAACTTTTTTTTTTTCCCCATCAATAAATTATTCCCCCACCCCCCAGTTATTCCCCCATCAAAAGTGGCCAAATTTTGTCCAGCTCCTAAAAAGAAAATAAAAGGAGGTGGGAGGGATCATTCCCCAGAAACTTAATTGGTTTTATTAGGATATTGATTTTTTTTTAAATTAATTAATTAATATTATTTAACCGGTGTTCATGAAATTAAGCCCCTGGGGGGGCAGGGCTGGGTAGGAGTAAGCTGAGCCCTGGCCTCAGCTCATCACACCTCCTGTCCTCAGCTGCTGTGGGAGGGGGAATAACTCCCCCCAGACAATTTTAGC